AACCCCACGGCCCCCAAACCCCACGGCCCCCAAACCCCACGGCGAGACCACGGCAACGCTGCCGCCTTGCTCGGGCCGCCGCCCGCCAGGCCCCGCCGCGGGGAGGCGCGGGGGCAGCGTAAAGGGCGGCTCTACGACCCGGCCCTGGGACCGGCCCCCGCGACCCGACCGCATGGCTCCCGCCCCGGCCCCGGCCCCGCCGCCATCGCGCCCCCCACTCACCTCCCGCCGGGCCGCGGCTCGCGTAGCGCTCGCTTTCGGAGCGCGGCACCTCCTGCTGTCTCCGCCCCTGACGGCCGGGCCGGGCGCTCCGCGGGGGCCGGGCGGCTCTGTCGTCTTCTGCGCCCTCCCGCTTTGCCCCCCCCCCCGGCCCGCGCCGCCTCGGAGGGCGCTTCCGGGCTTCGTTCGGCGCTGAGAGCCACGCGGCACGTCCCGGAGCCTCCTACTTATTTCGATTCTTTTACGGCTGAAATTAAGGACGGAAAACAACCCGGGCCGCAGCCGCGCGGCTCCTCCCGCAGGGGCGGCGCAGGGACCGCCCGCACACGGCTCCGAGCCCGGGCCGTGCCTCGCGGGAGGGGCGGCTCGGCGTGCCGGGACCCGCAGCCGGCAAGGCGGGGAGTTCTGCCCGGCGCCGCCGCGGAGAGCCGCGCCCCGGTGACCCGGAGCCGCCGCGCCCGGGTCGGCAGCCGGTGTTGGTGCCGGTGCCGGTGTTGGTGCCGGACTCCTCGCCGCGCCGCCCTGAGCTGTGCCAGCAACACGTGCCTTTCTGCTTCAATGACTGATTTCGGATTGGTGCCACCGTGGGAATGTTGGGAAGCCGATATGAAATGTGTCGGGGTTATTTTGTAACAGCAGCGAAGCACGCTGTGCATTTCATCTTCACACAGGGTTTATGAAGTACTTCGTTTCTTTTTAGCACGCCAGGCTGCCTGCAGGCGGTGTGCGAGCCGTGCGGAGGTCACCGAGCTCTGCAGGTACAAAGAAGTAAAGCAGAGATCTGTGTTACCGTGAGCTCATCTGGGTGCTGCTGGTGCAACACCAGGCCTCCATCAGCAGTGGGCAACTTCAAGCCCAGAGATGGGTGGACATAAGGAAGAAGTCTGTTACCGTGAGGGTGGTGAGGCCCTGGCACAGGTTGCCCAGAGATGTAGTGGATGCTTCATGGCTGGAGACAGCCAAGGCCAGGCTGGGTGGGCTCAGAGCACCTGATGGAGCTGTGCGTGTCCCTGCTCATGGCAGGCAGATGGATCGGATGGCCTTTAAAGGTTCCTCTAAAAGAAGGGGAGCAGGGAGGACCCAGGGAACTACAGGCCGGTGAGTCTCACCTCCGTGCCTGGGAAGATCATGGAACAGATCCTCCTGGACAACATGCTCGATCACATAAAGAATGAGCATGTGATCCGAGACAGCCAGCAAGGCTTCACCAAAGGAAGGTCATGCCTAACTAATCTTGTGGCCTTCTATGATGGAGTGACGGCATTGGTGGATGAAGGGAAGGCGACCGATGTCATTTACCTGGACCTGAGCAAGGCCTTTGACATGGTCCCCCACCACATCCTCATCTCCAAATTGGAGGGAGGTGGATTTGATGGGTGGACGACCCGATGGATAAGCAATTGGTTGAAAGGCCGCAGACAGAGGGTGGTGGTCAATAGCTCTATGTCCAGGTGGAGGCTGGTAACAAGTGGTGTCCCCCAAGGGTCTGTCTTGGGACCGGTGCTCTTTAACATCTTTATTAATGACATCGATGAGGGAATTGAGTGCACCCTCAGCAAGTTTGCTGACGACACCAAGCTGAGTGGTGCGGTTGATACGGTGGAAGGAAGGGATGCCATTCAGAGGGACCTCGACAGGCTGGAGGGCTGGGCTCGGGTGAACCTGATGAGGTTCAACACGGCAAAGTGCAAGGTTTTGCATTTGGGCCGGAGGAACCCCAGGCACCTGTACAGGCTGGGAGGAGTGGTCCTTGAGAGCAGCTCGGCAGAGAAGGACCTGGGGGTCCTGATGGACGAGAGACTGAACATGAGCCAGCAGTGCGCTCTGGCAGCTCGAAAGGCAAATGGGATCCTGGGCTCCATCAGGAGAGGGGTGGTCAGCAGGGACAGGGAGGTGATTGTCCCTCTCTACTCGGCTCTTGTGAGGCCCCATCTGGAGTACAGTGTCCAGGTGTGGAGCCCTCAGTACAAGAAAGGCATAGAGATTTTGGAAAGGGTCCAGAGGAGGGTGACTAAGATGATCAAGGGGCTGGAGCACCTCCCTGTTGTAGAGGACAGGCTGAGGGAGTTGGGCTTGTTCAGCCTGGAGAAGAGAAGGCTGTGGGGTGACCTCATGGCAGCCTATCAATACCTGAAGGGAACCTACACCCAGGAGGGGAGTAAACTCCTCAAAAGGGCTGACAATAGCAGGACTAGGGGAAATGGATCCAAGTTGAAGGAGGGAAGATTTAGGTTGGATGTTAGGGGGAAGCTCTTTACAAGGAGAGTGGTTAGGCCCTGGAACGGGCTGCCCAGGGAGGTTGTGGATGCCCCGTCCTTGGACGTGTTTAAGGCCAGGTTGGACGGGGTCCTGGGCAACCTGATCTAAATGTGTATGTTTGGTGGCCCTGCCAGGCAGGGGGGTTGGAACTACATGATCCTTGGGGTCCCTTCCAACCCGGGTGATTCTGTGATTCTGTGATTCTGTGATTCTGTGATTCTCAATTTGTATGTATGTATATGTTAAGTGAATGTAGCTAGCTGTAACATTACAGCATGTCATCCAGTGATAATGCTGCCATGAGCTTTAATGGCTCTTGAGGACATTGGAGTTGTGCACAAAGGAACAATCATCATCATAACTGTTGCTTAACCGAGCTTGTCTTCTTGCCAGCATTACCTTGAATTCACAGGAAGGTGCTCCTATTGCAGAACAGCACCAGGGACTTTGTACATCTGTGACCGAAAGCAGTCACACTTAGCAGTGCTGGTTCTGTGCCCCCCACTGCTGGCTTGTGCTCATGGGGCAGCTCGTGGGGGGAGCTTTCATGCGTGGCCACAAGGCGCCATCTCCCACCTTGAGCTAACATCACAACCAAGGAAAGCAGTGCCGTTGTGTGAAGGATGCCTGCTGTTCTCGTGGTTTACAGAAAATGTGATGAATGGCACCTGAAAGTGCTGGTGAGGAGCTGTGGTGGGAATGGAAGGGTTGCTCGGTGGGCAGAACACGTGCAATGCCTCTGCCAAGGGCCAGCATCAGGAAACTGCTCTGGATTTCCTGCTGGGTAGTAACAGCTCAGTCTGTGCTGAAATTGGGAGGATGCTTTCTCTTGGGACGTGGTGACAGTTGTGGCTGGAAGACAAACACACAGACTGGTGTGGGAATGCAGGCGTCCCATTGGCTTTGGATCTTTGGGGAGTTTGGTTCTGAATGATTAAAAATGAAATAGCTTTCATACTATTGCTAAAGTACCTAGGATTCATTTGGGGTTTTTGTAGCTTTCAGAGGTGAGGCTGACCTGTGTGTTTGCTCACTGATTCCAGAACTGAGTCTCCATAGCTACAGCTTGGCACAACACAGCGCTGAGCAGGGCTGGCCACACAGCTCTGCAGAGAAGGGAGGAGGACATCCTGGCCTCCTGGCTCCGGCTGCACTGTGACTGCAGCACTGAAGGTGAGCACTGAACAGCAGAGTGTCAGAAATCCCTGAGCTGTATTGGGTCCACTGAGCAGAAGGGAGGTAACCAGGGGCTGCGGGTCCTCCGGCTCAAGCATTCAGTGGAAGCACAAGGCCTGCTGGCCATACACCTTTCTCATTTCCACTTTGTTTTGACGTGCATTTGCTTCTCATGGTGGGAACATCTGCTGTAAACCATCATTAGGGGCCTGGAGTGACTGGTGCCATGGAAAAGATGGAGTAGTGGGGAGGAGCCTGGGTTTGGGAGAGGTGGAGGGGGGGTAGGTGTGAAAATCTGGCCTGACAGATGGCTGGAGAGAGTTAGAAAGCTTAAGGTGAAAATGGAGCTTGAGGAGGACAAGAAGGGAAAGACAGCGTGTGGTCTGGGAGGAGAGGGGGTGGGGAACAGTGTTGGGTGAGAAGGCTGATTGCTTTGATATCTTTCGTTCCCAGAAGGGTTCTCTCATTTTTTTGTTTGTTTGTTTTCAGTGCATGTGCTGATCTGAGGCGGAAGACCAAAAAATTCTCAGGAACCAAAGCAGAGATGAAAGACAAAGCAGAATGAAGCCAACACAGAGGGTGAGTTCTTTCTGCAGGGGCTATGAACAATTCATATGATTTTCAGCTTGTGGCTGACGGTACATCATTGAGGAGGACTCTGTTTGAAGCTTGTTCCATGTTCTTTAGACAGAAAGCTGTATAATATATGTAATATAAAAGTAACCCAAGGGCTGTGTTAGAAGGAGCAGTGGTTTTCTTATGAACCCTTACATCTTCATGAATGAACAACTCTCCCAGCAAACTGCTCAGCTTATTCTCACCCAAAAGCTCAATACTTTTGTCATTAATCAAGAAAAACTCACACTACCTGTATAATCAATGATATTGAGATGTTATAATTATGAAATAAACAAGAGAGTTAGGCAGAGCAGATTATGATAACAAAAAGAGAATAGATAGAAAGGTTACCTGTATTCTGGGCTCACTTACAAAACTGCAACAGAGAGAATCTCCAGCAGAGATCCTTTTCCCCTGGCAGCCAGCTCTTAAATAGGTCTAGGAGGGGTGCAGCCAGGCTCCAGCCCTTCCAGCAGCACAGCTGAATCGCCTCACCTGTGTTCCCTGGCTGACGCAGCGCTCGCCTCAGGTACCCGGCACGCCCACACGCAAAAGGAGAGATGCCATTCATGTCTTTAGAAGGTTTTTTGAGAAACTGATTATGGAAACGCTGTGTTGTGAAGAGAAAAAAACGGACATTAGAGGCATTGTATTCCAATTGAGTTGGCTGTGTATTCCAATTAAGTAAAAAACCTCTGATCAATCAGTTCCCATGTACTGCCTTTAGGGAGCTGCACCTAGTAACGCCTTGGTTCTGGGTGTCTGCGTGTGGGCACGCTGGGTACGGGGGGTCGGTCAGATCAGTCCTTTCCCAAAACGACGCTGAGGAGGGCACGGTTTTGTCTGTTTGAATGCCAGGTTTGGGCAGCCAGGATTCCCAGGCCTCTATGAAAACTGCCCCTTGCTCTAATTGTGTATTTGAAGTTATGTGTAATAACGTGCAATTTTTCATACGTAATTGTGCAGAGTAACGACTTGATGTTTTATGGCAATTTAACGCACTGGCGTTCTGATACCACGTGCTTTCACCT